ATATATATATATATATATATATATATATATATATATTTATATATATATAAATATATATATTATATATATATATATATATTATTATATTATAACACACCCACACACTACCCAGGCCACATCAACTCAGCATTCACACTCAAGACACGAGAGTCACCTAGTCCAAGCTGATGACTCGTTATAATGATCATCTCACCGTCAATGGAGTGAGAACTCCAGGTGTTGCTGTGTCCTTCATAAATATTGATAGCTAAAACATCTTTCAAGATGGAGTAACCCATCTTAAAACAATCTCCTAAAAACACTAGAATAAAAATTAAAATCCCTATTATATGAAGACAGGGATGTATTTTTTGTTAATAAATTTTGCAGTGTCTTCACCCAATTAAGAAAAATGGAATAATTCAATAAATAATATATATATATATATATTTATTATATATATATAATATATATATATATATTAATAAATAATATATATATATATATATATATATATATATATATATAATATATATTATATAATATATATATATATATGTATATATATATGTTCAAGTACATATATAATAATATGAAATATATTCTCTCTCACGAGCTCCAATTAACCACACACCTGTCTAGATAGCCAGGTGTGTATGGTGGGCATGAAGAATATATCGTCTCACTGAAACATCTGCGTTACCTCGAGTAGCAGGTGTTACCTCACCTGTGCTAGCTTTTCTGATCGTGGGTTTCAAACCGTGTATTAGGTTTTGTTGAGCGTGGGTTACGAATACTGTGTTAATTTGACTGGACGTAGGTTACAAATTTATTTTAGCTTTAATGTACGTGAGATTATTGAACGTAGCTTTATTGAACGTATGTTAAGAACCCTTGCTAACATTTTCCAAATATCAGATTCAACTAAATACAATACCGGAGCTGATTGTGTCCTTTGGAACCCTGACCTTAGTTCAGGGTGACAATGGGGCATCAAGGAATAGTAGTAGTAGTAGAAATAGTAGTTTCAGTAGTAGTAGTATCAGTATTAGAAGTAATAGTAGTAGCAGTAATAGTAGTCATAGAAGTAACAGTAGTAGTAGTACTTGCTATATATAATATCCTCCCTGTACGCGTTAACTCTCTTTACTCTATTAACATAACAACGTTGCTATTGCTTTTCGGAAAAAAATATAGATAGGTTGTAATTAGTAATTTTCAGTACGTATGATCCGTATGAATTGAAGCATTTCTCCCTCTGTCAATCTAATGAACTCCCTTTCTGTCTGTCTCTCTTCTCTCTTTCTGTCTCTCTCTGTCTCTCTCTGAGACGGCTAATTTACATCCTCTTAAAATAAGTTTCTTTCAGCTGATGCCTCACAAGGAAGTGTCGTTGGCTCTCTCCAGTCTCTCTCTACCGACAATCAGACTTGCTAATGTCGCCTCATTAATAACGCTCAGACTTGATAATGACGTGTCATAACCAACAGTCAGACTTGCTAATGACGTTTCATTACCAACGGCCAGACTCCCTAATTAGCTATTACCAACGGTCAGACTTGCTAATGTCGTCTCATTACCAACCATCAATCTTGCTAATGACGTATTGGTACGGGAGTCATTCCTTGAGTAGCTTTAGGTAGATGTCGTTTTGATAAGGACCTGCCTCGTATGGGCCAGTAGGCCTTCTGCAGTGTTCCTACATTCTTATGTTCTTATGTTCTTATGTTCTTATGTATCATTGCCATCTATTAGACTTGGTAATAAACCCGAGCTGACTAAAGACTTTATTTCCTTCTGGTATCCTATGATTGACTTACGCTCCTAGAAGATACAAGACCATCTTCAGTTTGGTTTAAAGAAGACGAGTTCTTCTCAGTAGATAACCTCAAGGTGGACTCTCAAGCCCTCTGCTCTCATGCACTATCATGTACTCCCATGGTCTACCATGTACTCCCACGTACTAGCTCTCGGCGCCGACTGTGGTGTGTTCTGGTGCTGATAAAAATTATATCACGGAGCGAAATGTGTTATAAGTAAAAGTTTTTTCTGTAGCATATCTTTTCTTCTACACGGGCAGCGCGACGTTTCGAGCCCGTGTAGAAGGGTTGAACGCGTTTGGTGATCCTGTCCTGTAGCTCAGTGTAGAACACTCTCCCATCACAACAAAAGGTAATCCTGGTTCGATTCCCAGGAGAGTTGTTATGCATGGGTAAATCCACACACACACACACACACACACACACACACACACACACACACACACACACACACACACACTATCTCTCTCTTTCTTTCTGTCTGTCTGTCTGTCTGTCTGTCTCTCTCTCTCTCTGTCTCTCTCTCTCTCTCTCTCTCTCTCTCTCTCTCTCTCTCTCTCTCTCTCTCTCTCTCTCTCTCTCTCTCTCTCTCTCTCTCTCTCTCTCTCAAAGAAAAAATATGGCTGCATTGATGGTATTGAAAGACTCTTGATCCAGGGCGTTAGATCTACCTATTATTTTCCCAGGCGATGAATTACCTTTACGGGTTTAGCGCTTCCCCATAAATTTAATGCTAACACAATATAGTGTGATGATTGGTTTGAAAAACCGACAAGTTGAAGATTGAGACACTTATGCAACATATGGGAATCTTTATTCAGGAAACGTTTCGCCACACAGTGGCTTCATCAGTCCAATACAAAGCAGAAGGTGTAAGGAGAGGAGGAGTTTGAGGTAATCAGTCTCTCAGCCTGGAGTCGATGTGTTCAGTCCATCAATCTTGTAGAATGTACAGCATAGGGCCGTAGACGTGGCTTATATACTGTAGTCAGGTGAGGCGAAGCAGGAGGAGGCGGGGTCATAGTGGTACCATCCACTAGTCGAAGTAGGTCTTCTTCGACTAGTGGATGGAACCACTATGACCCCGCCTCCGCCTGCTTCGCCTCACCTGACTACAGTATATAAGCCACGTCTACGGCCCTATGCTGTACATTCTACAAGATTGATGGACTGAACACATCGACTCCAGGCTGAGAGACTGATTACCTCAAACTCCTCCTCTCCTTACACCTTCTGCTTTGTATTGGACTGATGAAGCCACTGTGTGGCGAAACGTTTCCTGAATAAAGATTCCCATATGTTGCATAAGTGTCTCAATCTTCAACACAATATAGTAATTGATTACTTTAGCCAAAAGAGTAAATTTTATTCATGGGAGGGGGAGTGGAAAGCGTTAAAACCGTAGGATCGTACATCGCTTTAGGGAAGTTAGAGACAAATCAGGTTCGATCCAGGGAAAGGGAAGAAAGGTCCAGTTCCTAGGATCAAGAGCCCCCTCGCTGGCATCAAGGCACCTCCAGTGACGGGTCTAACAAGAAAATATCTGTAACAGCCAAAAAAAAAAAAAAAGAAGAAAAGGTAATGAGTTCCCTTTACACCACTCCACTTTTGTTGTCTTTGTAATCCGCTACTTTTTCTAGTGTTATAATCGCCTCTAGTCGACTGAAGAGGGCTGCTGTGTAGCCGAAACGTTACTTTATTTTTCCTTTTCCTATTCCTTATGTGTATTCTTCATCGTTCCTACTCCTCAGTGGTTTTCCTCCTACATCCTTCCTTCTCCTCCCACCTTATCTTCTGTATGTTTGCTTATTCTCTGCTTTTGTCTTCCTGCTTTCATCTAAGCTTATCTTTCATATTCCTATTTTTTCAACTTCCGTCTCTTGGTTATTAAATGCTATTCCTCCATTCCTACCTCCCGTATTTGCTTATCCAATGCTTATCCAACCCTATCCTCCATTCCTACCTCCCGTATTTGCTTATCCAACCCTATCCTCCATTCTTACCTACCGTATTTGCTTATGCAACCCTATCCTCCATTCCTACCTCCCGTATTTGCTTATCCAACCCTATCCTCCATTCCTACCTCCCGTATTTGCTTATCCAACCCTATCCTCCATTCTTACTTCCCGTATTTGCTTATGCAACCCTATCCTCCATTCCTACCTCCCGTATTTGCTTATCCAACCCTATTCTCCATTCCTACCTCCCGTATTTGCTTATCCAACCCTATCCTCCATTCCTACCTCCCGTATTTGCTTATCCAACCCTATTCTCCATTCCTACCTCCCGTATTTGCTTATCCAACCCTATTCTCCATTCCTACCTCCCGTATTTGCTTATCCAACCCTATCCTCCATTCCTACCTCCCGTATTTGCTTACCCAACCTATTCTCCATTCCTACCTCCCGTATTTGCTTATCCAACCCTATCCTCCATTCCTACCTCCTGTGTTTGCTTATCCAACCCTATTCTCCATTCCTACCTCCCATTTTCAGTCACTTCCTTATCTTACCCATCCCTTCCTTTCTTCCTCTATTCCCTGCTCATCCTCCCTTGTATCAAACGTGTCTTGGCGCTGCTATTTGATAGCATCATTTAACTATGTGCTATTGTACCTAACGCTCTCCATTCCCAGCTCATTGTAATTCTTGTAGTCATTAGTGATAAGCTCATTACGACGAGCCAGGGTCCTCAAGTCGGTGCTAATCATTACTCATTATACCAGCTTGCTGACTGATGATGTTAGCTTGCATATTAATCAGTAATCATTCCCTCAAATCACGGTAATCATTAATGTTTCATATCTGCGTCTGTCAGTCATCTCTGAATTAATTTAACTTTGTTTAATCGTCCAGGGATTCACAAAAGACAAGCCCTAATCTTCATATTTCCAATGTTTGTCCCTAATCATGTCCTCGGGAGTCCGATTGTCAAAGGACAAATCATACTTTCATTCTGATCACATAAGCCTTAGGCATGTCAAAAGCTACGTAAGAAATGATTAGGCCTATGTGCACATGTAGTTATTTTTTTTATGTTCAGTTCTAAAATTGTCTAAAAAATATAGTCTTTTTATTTCAATAAATGTGAGTGTTTTGCTATATATAATATTTTAAGGGACTCTTATTGTTATTACTTGATTGTAATTTAATGGTGAACTTTGACATTCTGCTGATCGTGCCGCATGCGGTGTTCCGGCAGAGGGCCGCGAGTGCGTCAACTGTGGTGCTACGTCGACGCCACTGTGGCGACGCGACGGTAATGGTCACTACTTGTGCAACGCCTGCGGCCTTTACTACAAGATGAACGGCCAGAACCGACCACTCATCAAGCCCAAGCAACGCATGGTAAGTACACTCTATGGTACACTGTGTGGCGGTGCTGGAACCCTAAATATACCCCAAGTCTCATCTCCAGCTCCTATTCTAACTTATACAACAACGAATTTAATCACCATACTCTGTGTTGTGCTACATTGGTTAATATATCCTACCTCCCGCCCCCATCTCTTTTCTAACAAACACAACCCTCCAACTCGAACAGTATACACTGTGTGGTGCTGCTACAACACTTAATATAACATACACATATTCCAACCTTCATCATTCTTGAATTAAATCATTATACACTTCAGTGAGTTTCATATTTTTTATAACCCACTTCTTACATCCCACTGTTATTCTAAAATACAGAATTATTTAATTTAATCCACATTAACTGTTTTGATTTTTTGGGCAGTATACTGTTCTGTGCATCATCATATACAGAAAAATAAAATTATATTTTATAGGCAGGATAGTCTCAAATATAAATATTGTTAAAGTAAAGGCAGACGACAAGACGAGTTTCTATAAAGTTCTGAGATGGGAAGAATACTTAATAACAAAAGTTAGATGGTTTTTCTTAGGGTCACAGGTGAGTGACCTGGTCAAGCGACACGACCAGGGAAGTTGAAGGCTGAATTTGACACGACTTTTCATACTCTCAAAGCAATAGTGTCACGTTTTATATATATCTGATATACCTGTGTGTGTTTTGTGTGTGTGTGTGTGTGTGTGTGTGTGTGTTGTGTGTGTGTGTGTGTGTGTGTGTGTGTGTGTGTGTGTGTGTGTACTTGTGAGTATGCGTGTGTGTACATCAAAATAACATCGGAAATAAAACGATTTTAAGGTGTTTATCGTTGACTATGGGCCTGGACGAGCCTGGGCCTGGAATGTATTTCGGGGATCAATGCCCCCGCTGCACGGTCCATTAATTCACCAGATACTTTTGCCTCGTGAAATACTTTACACATCTTAAGTGAACTCTTGTATCATTGAATACGTAAAATAGACAGATACTGTACTTTATATTCGTAAGATACTGCCTCTGTTGAGATGTCTAGATGTATGTCAGGGGATGCTGGAGATGTTTGAGGTTATTGCTTCTGTCTCCAGAGTAAATCACTACCAGCGGCCAACACTCCGGGCTATCCGCACCACCTGTTAG